CACTGATTGCATCGTTTCGATTGGAACCAAACAGAATGAAAAGTTCCGATCAAGGGGAAACTTTGGAGAAGATATTTTAGCGAGCTAAAAATGCGATGATCCATAAAATAACCTGAAGAAAGAGGAAGAGTGCCGAACAACTGATACCACTCATAAGCGACGAGCATAAGCGGGCCGTGAATAAAAGTTCAGGTACTTCACAAGATACCGCAACTATGGCCAAACTTGTACCCACAATCGATCCCGTATTCGCACCAATCAGCGTAACTGTATCACTAGATATTTCAGTAATTCAAGTCGATCACCAGTGTGTAGCATTTGAAAGATGCTTGAGTTATGTGCCACTGTATGCATATAATGACAATGCTAAAACCACTCACATTTTCTACCGAATCGCTCTGTGAAAAACGGCGCTACGAATGTGCCCGTTAGGTAGCCAATTGCCCAAATATTCAGCATCGCACTCCATAGCCACGAAAATTGTGTTTCGGTCAATCCTGAAACGAACGCTTTTCACAAGCATACAATAAGTTTGACGTTAAGCAAGGTGTTGATCATTTCCGTCGAATAATGCTCAAAATTGAGGCAGCAAGACGATCCATAGTTTGGTTACAATACAAAAAGACAGATCAGCAGTCACCTCCTGGAGAGCCACGATCGATGTAACTATCGTTGATGAATGTTTGAAATGAGCCATATGCAGTATTTGGATACGAATTCGGGTACGAATCCTAAAAGAGGCAAATCAACTAATGGGATGAACCTTTCCATTAGGCAATAACATCCGCGACATCAAATCGCATCGAATCTATTGAATATCTCTCGCTACTTCTTATGCTAACTGACAGAAAAAGGTATAACTTTTCCATAGTGTTGCAACATAATTTCGCTCTCTTAACTGAAACTTGTGCACATTATTAACTGGTTTGCTTTTAGTTTCCATTTCGTTTCCAAAATTTTTCGACTCTCCTTACGTTTCGTTTTAATTTCACAAGATTTTAATGCCGTACGAACGGTTACAACTTGCCTATCAACTACCCAGTAGATTCATGTGTCACATTGGTGTAAAAAGTGTTCATTTCTTTTTTAACTTTCAATAGTTGAAATAAAAACAATGAAATAAAAAATTGTGAAATTTATGAAATATCAACCTGGAAATTCGATAAGCATGCGAGAACAGCGAACAGCGCGATCAATTTCGCGTGATTACCACGTGGTGCAACACTCATTGTGTTAGTTCTATCGATACGTTATTGAGATCGATTTGTTGCTATGGAAATCAATAGCGGAAGCAACCTGAAAATGATTGAACTGCTCCATGTTAATGTGCACTCAAAATGGAACACATCTAATTACACCACTCTCGATCAATGACTTTCCACCTTCAAGCACACATTTAGCTTCGTTTTTATTGATTTCAAGTTAAGCCGTAGACAGAAATGGTCATGATTTCAAAATGCTACTGGTTTATCAAATGAACATGTGCCTTTTTCGACAGTGCTGAATGAATTTCACTTATCAATGGCTTAGAAAAAAATTTGAGACTTCAAAAAAGAATGCAAACAATCAAGAAACCAAAAAAGAAATAGAAGGCTGGAAGAAACGAGAGAACAGGCAGCTGTCATACGCCTTCTATTTCATTTTTGGTTTTGTGTGAGTGATCTCACTGGTCGTATGACTGCTAAGTAAAGAAAGAGGAAATGTAAGCGTACCTCGAGTAAAGAGCACTCAGCTTGCTGATAGGATATTTTTGAGAGTGCAATTTCGATTCTTTTTTTGAATTCAAAAAACCAAAAAGTAATCATTTAGTCTCATAGCATATCAAACGCATCAAACGAATACCATCAAATACATGTGAATCGTCAAGCAAAGCAAATAGATGGCGGCTTGAAGTAGCGATTTTGGTCGTAATCATATGAATTTTCTCACATTTAAATCGATCAGCAAGTGCATAAAATGTACGGAAAAATCATTCAAATACATAAAAATGATGTTGCGATGAACATTCGTTATCAATGCAATGATTATTGCTAAGAGACAATAATGAATGAAAGAGGTTTGAAGGGAAACACCAGCGTGAAATTGCTTTATAGTGATTGATGTATTTCTTCAGCTACAACCCTAACGCTAAACAAACAAAACTAATCTGAGATTGAGCTGGAACCTTCAATTCAAGTCAAAGCCTAACTTCAACCTAAATGATCACAGGCGTTAAGTGATTGGACTGGATCCTGAATCTAG